AGCAACCTCTAACTCCTGGGCTCAAGCAAGTCTCCTGCCTCAGCCTCCCAAGTAGCTGGTACCACAGGTGCCCGCCACAACGCCTGGCTATTTTTTGGTTGCAGCCATCGTTGTTTGGCGGGCCCGGGCTGTATTCGAACCCGCCAGCTCAGGTGTATGTGGCTGGCGCCTTAGCCACTTGAGCCACAGGCGCCGAGCCAGAAAAGAGATAAATAATTTACTAATACTTTCTTTCTTTAAAAAAAACTTTAACTCCACTCTTACCTAATGGGCACAATGTAGGGGTATACAGCACACCTTCTGGGGAAAGGGCTCAACCACAACTTGGACTTCACCTAACAAATGCAAACAATGTACCCTAAGCATATGTACCCTTATTTCAATCTGAAATTTGTAAAAAACCAAAAACTTTTAACTCTTTTAAAAGAAACATGAAAATACAATGACAGAAAGTTTTGAAATCAAATCCTCTCTGACATGACTCTGCTTTGGAAAGGGCAAATGTGCTGTTTCATGGAACAAAAATTTTATGTAGTATAACTCCACCTGCTGGGAATGGAGGACTATGCCATGTATACTTACCAGCGGCACAAAGCACATCAAGTACCCTTCTCAAATCATAATTATGTCAAAGACACAACACTGAGGCAAAGTGCCTGAACTGTGGCCACCTATTCTATTTTAAATAATATTTTTTCTCACTTTACTGAAAAATGAATAGTTCTGGTAAAAATTACTGACCATGGAAAACCATCATTTTACATTACAAACTTATGCCTTGAATTCCAATTTTGAATGTAAAAATGGAAATGCTTTATAAGAAGGCATAGTCAACATTGCTGAGATATACGTAAGGCTTCATTTTACGAGTTGAAAGTAAAAGTTAAAGATATTAGAACAATTTTGTCCCCCTCAAACTGTGCCACTGCAGCACTTCGCCTGGGGCTAATACTAGGATCTCTGAGTTATCAGATAGAGAAGAGGAAGCTAACAATACTAGATAATCTGAAAAGTGGGCCTCAAGGAACTGCAGGTAATGATGAGGGTAAAGCCCTTCACAAATATTTACACATTTAAAGCTCTCATTTGCCAAGTTCACAAATTCTTTCCATCTCTGGACCTATCTGACTACTTAAAACTTGATTTGGCAAAGTTGTTCTTACAAAAATTTTAATCTATATGATTTACCTTTGTTACTTTGTCCATTCTCCTTCTGGGATGAGAAAGATGTTCAGGAAAATAGGTATTCGGGATGCAGTACTCAGTGTATCTTATATTGTGTAGCCAATTTCAGAAAGAACTTCAGCATGGTAAAAAAGAGAATTATCAGTTCCAAGTTGCTATAAATAGCCAAGCAACTTCTCAATACTTGGTAGACTCACTTCCACATAAATCTTCTCTCCATCTCAGTTATCATCGTGTGAATCTGTCTTGCACTATTTGAACAGCCTCCTAACTGGCCTTCCCATCCCCTTCCACAGTCCTCCCCACTGCTACCCAAACATCTTACTAGAAATGCAAAGCTAAATTTGTACTTTAACTCTGTTAACTTCAATTCTGTAGCTTTATCCTAAGGAAACTAATGCTTGGATGAAAACAGCATAACACAATAGCTAAGACCACAGACTATGTGCAAACTACATGGATTCAAATCTCAGCCCCCAAAAGTCTGGCTGCATGAAGGCAAGTTATCAATACTTATCTTTGGATTTGTTCCCCCTCTTTATCTTAAATTTTTCCTAATTTTTTCATGCCAGCTTTATTCATATACTATACAATTCTCTTAATAAAGTGTACATTTGAATGATTTTCAGTATTTTTACAGAGTTGTACAACCATCATAGTTAAATTTTGGAACATTTTCATCATCCCACAAAAAGAAACCTGTGCCCATCAGCAGTCATTCCCATGTTTCCTGTCCTCCCTAGCATCTGGCAATCACTAATCTACTTTCTGTCTCTACAGACTTGCCTCTTTTGACTCTTTTTTCTTGCTTTTTTTTTTTTCAGAGACAAGATTTCACTCTGTCACCCGGGCTGGAGTGCAGTGGTCTGATTAGAACTCACTGCAGCCTCTAATTCCTGAGCTCAAGCAATCCTCTCACCTCAGCTTTCCAAACAGCTGAGACTATAGGTGCACACCACCATTGCTTGCTAATTTTTTGATTTTTATTTTTGTAGAGATAGGTCTTGCTATGTTGCCCAGGCTGATTTCGAACTCCTGGCAATCTTCTTGCCTCGGCCTCCCAGAATTGTGAGCCACTGTGCCCAGTCTAAACCTTTCATCTAAAAGGAATCATACAATATGTAGCCTTTTGTAACTGACTTCTTTCACTTAGCATGCCTTTTTTTTTTTTTTTTTTTTGAGACAAGGGTGTCATTTTGATGCCCTTAGAGTGCTGTGGCATCACAGCGCACAGCAACCTCAAACTCTTGGGCTCAAGCAATTCTCTTCCCTTAGCCTCTCAAGTACCTGAGACTACAGGTGGCCACCACAATTCCTGGCTAGTTTTTTTTTGGGGGGGGGAGGGTAGAGGAGGGTGTCTCACTCTGGCTCAGGCTGGTCTTGAACTTGTGAGCTCAGGCAATCCACCCTTCTCAGCCTATCAGAGTGCTAGGACTATAGGCGTGAGCCACTGCACCTGGCCTCTTAGCATGTTTTCATAATCCATCTACACTATAGCATGAATCAGTACTTAATTTCTTTTTATGGCTGAATAATATTCCATTGTATGGATATACCCACATTTTATTTACCCATTCATCAGTCCATAGGCATCGGGGTTGCTTATATTGTTTGGCTATGATAAATGTTACCAAACAATTCATGCCCAAGTTGTGTGGAGATACATTTTCATTTGGAAGTGAAATTGCTGGGTCATATGGTAACTAATTTTTTAACTTCTGAGGTTACTTAACATGTTCTTGATGATTACTTAATACTACGGGGAAATTTCTATTTCATATGATAAAAATACTTAAAAATATATACACACATACAGGTATCTATGTTTATTATAAATATTACATACTCTGGGGTATGTACATATAAGAAGTATGATCTATTTTATAATTAGGAATTAAAAAGTGTTTTTGTAATCCTACTGTGTTATTTTCCTGCTTAAAATGCTTCAAAGTTTCTGTGTTTGCTGGAAACTAAAGCAAAAAAGATGATTCAAAGGTTTCTCATTGCTTACGGGAATAAGAAACAGACTTTCAGGAACTGGTCTCTGCCTAGTCTCTGACATTTTCTATGTCAGTCCTCTGCTCCAGCAATATTAAATTCTTGGTATTTCCCCAAACATACGGTTTCAGTGCCTCTGCACAGGCTGTTCTTGCTGTTTGCAACCCCTACCTCTCACTCTGTCTGCTTCACAGCCTCCCACTTTATTGTTTTAACACGCCAACTTGGCTAGAAGAACTGTTTTGGGATTTTTGGGTTTTTTTTTTGGTATCTCTAATTCTTAGCACAATATTTAACTAATAGTAGAAGCTTAATATACTGAATTGAATTGCAAATATTTTCATGTAACAAGAAAAATTAAAGAATATCGTTTATAGTTACCTGCTCTATTTCAGTGTATGCTTCAGAGAATGCCAAATAGGGTGAAAGGCGACAAATACTTGTACATTCTAACACTGACAGCTAACAGTGATAGCTAACAGTACCAAGTACTTATTATGTGCTGGATTGTTTTAAGCAAGTTACATGTATTAACTCGATCCTCATAATCTTCCTATGAAGTATTATTATTAAAACAGCAATATATTGGCTCAGTGCCTGTGGCTCAGGAGGCTAAGGTGCCAGCCCTGAGCTGGCGGGTTCGAATTTAGCCCGGGCCTGCCAAACAACAATAATAGCTGCAACCAAAAAGCAGCTGGGTGTTGTGGTGGGTGCCTGTAGTCCCAGCTACTTGGGGAGGTTGAGGCAAGAGAATCACTTAAGCCCAGGAGTAGGAGGTTGCTGTGAGCTATGATACTATAGCACTCTACCCAGGGTGACAGCTTGAGGCTCTGTCTCAAAAAAAACAGACAAAAACAATATATTATTACTATAACTAATAAATTATGTAAATAATTTCATTTAGATTCTTAACATATTGGCATCTGTAAATTTTAAACCAAGAATTATTATTATTTTTTGAGAAAGAGTCTCAAGCTGTCATCCTTGGTAGAATGCCGCGGCGTCACAGCTCATAGCAACCTCCAATTCTTAGGCTTAAGTGATTCTCTTGCCTCAGCCTCCCAAGTAGCTGGGACTATAGGAGCCCACCATAATGTCCACCTATTTTTGGTTGTAGTTGTCACTATTGTTTTGGCGGGCCCAGGCTGGATTCGAACCTGCCAGCTACAGTGTATGTGGCTGGTACCTTAGTCATTTGAGCTACAGGTGCCGAGGTGAGAATTACTTTTAGAAAGTACATTAAGGGGGAAGGGAGGAAAAAAGAAAAAAAAA